CTCACCACAAGTAATATAACAATTCTTAGCACAGAATCGCATCAACTGTTTAAATAATAAATCTTGCAACATTGCTATCATCTCACTTTCAAAAGGCAACCTCTAACGCCCCGACAATAAGCGCATGGCTGTCTCCACAGGATCCGAATACTTGCAACAACATTAAACTCTTGCATTAAGAGTTCAATACTAGTTCAATAACAAACATCCTCTTTGTCACAAAGTCATTTGGAACAATTATATAGACAATTCCACCGCCTTTAGTCATAAATGGATAAATACATATATATTATATGTATTATGCAGAGATATTGATAAATAAAGATCAACCTAGTATAATGCAAGCGTATGTCAACGAATTCTCTTCAAAATCCAGAAGTGATGGTATGCAGTTAAAAGAGTCCAAATGCAAGGAACTTCGAATAAGTTTCTCAACTGTAAAGAGAGAGTTTAATCCTATTATTATCAACGACAAAAATATCGAAGTAGTCCAGTGTGAAAAACTACTCGGTTTAACCATCTCCGACAACCTCAAATGGAATAAACATATTGAGACTGTATGCAAGAAGATTTCAACTCGTCTATACTTCTTGCGACAATTGAAACGGGCTAAGTTACCGTCCAAGGATCTTCTCTTGTTCTATGTTACTTGTATTCGGCCGGTTGTTGAATACGCGTGCGAAGTATTCCACGATTCCCTTACAAAGTACCTGTCAGACGATCTCGAAAGATTACAACGCCGAGCTTGCAGAATAATCCTCCCCGAACATTCGTATGAGGACGCACTTAATCAACTAGGTCTCTTGTCATTGTACGATCGAAGACAAAATTTGACCGATAAACTTTTTCAGCAAATTGTTAATGATCTGCAAGACAAATTACACCATTTATTACCAGCATTAAATTTATCTGAGGCATCTCTGAGAGAAAAAAGAATATTTCAAGTTCCAAACTGTAAAACAAATAGATTTAAAAACGATTTTATCAATTTCAATTCTAGTAAATATGTATATATATCTGAGTCACTAAATAATGTAAATAGATAGTTTTACCAATTGAACCTCCACTTTTATGGATTTTAATAACATAGATCATATTCTTTGTAAGACTAAAGGTTTTTCAGCCGGAGCCTATTGCCGAGGCTGCAAGTTTTAAGTCAATAAACCATCTATCTATCTATCTATCTCTATCTATTATACACCATCATTATTCAATATTTACCATCATTCAATAGTAAGGGATGATAATCATGATATTGTTTAAAAGACATAAGTTTAATAATATTACTGAGACATAAGTTGTTCTAATGTTCATTTTTATACTATACGGTCCTTGACATTTTTAAAAGGTGGCTCCCTACAGTAATTTAGAATTAGGACTAGTAACTAAATAATGCTCACGAAAACAAGAGTAAATCGCGCGATGCGGTAAAATTTCCCGTTTTGCGAGAGTAACGCGGGATTTTTAAATGCCATGCACTGTTAATTTCGGGGAGTAATTTTAACTCCACCGTAGGAGTTGAAATAACTCCCGTTTGAGGAGTAGAAATAATGGAGTATATTTCACTCGAAAACCAGAGTTAAATCTACTCCACTTCAGTTCATATTTAAACGTTTACACCACTAGGAGTAAATATTACTCCACTGTAGGAATAAAATATACTCCAGTAAAGGAGTAGAAATATTGGAATACTTTTTACTCCTTTATTTTTACTCCAGGAGTAAATTTAACTCCAGTTTTGCTACTCTGGGATTTAATTCAACTCTCATAAAGGAGTAAAATGTACTCTTGAAAAGGGATACACATATTAGAGTAATTATTGTATAATTTACTCCTATATTTTCACTCCAAAAAAGGAGTTAATCTACGAGAGTAAATAATTTATTTTTGGGAGTCAAAACAACTCTAATAAAGGATAAAATTAGATATACTTAGAAAATGGATATCAAGTAATTACTGTAACTTTACTCCTAACTGTCACTCAAAAAATGACAAATTTTTTAAGGGTATAAAGGAGAATGTATACTTTATCTAAATTTTACCCCCACAGCTATAAGCAAAGTTAAAATTTTCACTACCCTGAAAATGTTACTTTTCAGGCTAGTGAAAGTTACCATTAAGCCACAATGCAATATTCCACTTGGCGGTTTACATGAATCCGGATTGAGTAGTATTCCAGATTGAACCCACCCTGGTTCTCAAGAAATCATAATAACTGTTTACATGAATCTGCAATGATTCATTTCTTAAGAACTGGGGTGAAACTCAATCCGGATTCATGTAAACAGCCCCTTAGACAAGTGGTATACCAAATACAGCCCCCCCCCTTCAAAGAAATTTTAAAAAAAGCTGGGGGTTTTTTCACCAAAAAACTGCTTCAAAATTTATGAAACTGCTATCGATAGAAAGCTTGAATAACACAGCTTCCGAATATTTAATTTTTATCCTGGCCAAAATTCGTTGTCGAATCTTACAGCTCCTGAAACGCAGACGTCTGCCAGCCTGAGATTCGAAATCGCATATAATGATGTACGTTAAATGCGCGTTGAAGTACGAGCGAAGTAAACACCAAAAAACGGCTTCAAAATTTATGAAACTGCTATCGATAGAAAGCGTACATAACACAGATTCCGAATATGTAATTTTTATCCTGGCCCAAATTCGTTGTCGAATCTTACAGCTCCTGAAACGCTGACGTCTGCCAGCCTGAGATTCGAAATCGCATATAATGATGTACCTTAAATGCGCTTTGAAGTACGAGCGAAGTAAACACCAAAAAATAGGTACGCAATGCGTACATGTGGGTAGCCTGTAAAACATGATTAACTGCAATATTTTTAGTTTTATGTTCTAATGCCATAGACAACGCGCTATAGTTAGCTGGTTGAATACAGTTATAACGAAGTCAATTTATTACACAATCTATATATTATAATATTTTATTGTATTAAATACATTTTACGACAGATCAAAACATATATAAAAGCATTTTTACAAGAGATAAGAAATGAAATTTTTTTAAGCAGAATAGGTGAACAGAACAAAAAAGAGAGTAAGGTTCCGGGATGGTGGCACACATCGTCTGATAACATAAAGCTTAGTTTAGAAGGAGAAAAAGAAGGTTTCAGACTTTTTCAAATTATTTCGTTTTGATGTCCCTTGATTATCAGCATGTCTTTATCACATACAAGATTGGCTCTTTTGTTGATAAATCAATGTTATAGTTATGTTAATAGTCAATAAAGGTTAAACGTTATTGTTCCATTAAGATTATACCACTTGTTTGCCAAAGTTTATTGACAATACGTTTCACGATTATAACTGAAGATGATAGCATGATTTCATTGATCCAGTAGGAAGGTACAGGTGGTTTGCAATGTTGATTACAGATAATTTATCAGCACCAATTAGCTGGACATAATAGCACCAGTTCGTAGGTCCAAGAACTGCGTGACTTTTTCAGAGTTTAAATTTATCAGTTGACAATATCTTATCCGTGTGGTAATTCAGTCCGACAATCAGTCAACATTGAATGTCATCAATCATCATTGATATAATGTGTATTGCTCAGTAGTAGTTACCATGAAGGTATGAGTAGCATTTACCAGTAAGGTTACCAGAGAACTTTGTTTTTGTTTGGCATTCGTTGCTGCGATGAACAGATTACAGTTGCGGTATGTGGAGAGATGTCTGGAAAGAGGAACGAGGATTTCCGATATATGTGTTGTGGTCTTTTTATCTTCGGATTAATTTAACGTTGATCCACGCGGTAGGCAACAAGCAACGCTGACATTTTTAAAACTTCTTTGTGATTGTAGCTGATTCAGACCTGTAAAAAGCAAAAACTCGCGTTATCAAAGAAACAAACGCATATGTATAGCTAGTATGCAATACGAATCTATTATTTACCTTTAGATTATTAGTGCTTCAGCTTCGACATCGTGTGAATAATTTGAAAATATGCCACCGGAACCTAAAAATAAAGAGAAATGGTCAAATTGCGTGAGAAAAGAAAATGAAAAAAAAACTTAAAATTAAATGCTTACCTTTTGTTAAATTGGAGTCAGGCCAATAAATATTGGCCTGTGTTCATCTAACCATGTCAATGCTATGGTTGTTCTTGTTACATGCTAACGCTATGTCTGGATGTGATTACCTCCTTACCTGGGTTCATCTAACCATGTCAATACTATGGTTGTTCTTGTTACATGCTAACGCTATGTCTCGATGTGATTACCTCCTTACCTTTAGAGAGGCCCAAATTGCTTTGTGATCACTAAAGTAAGTTTCAAGAGTACCTGCCTGGATATCCTTTTCAATCAAATTCGTATACAGATGATCAATCAATGTTCCATTATCTGTTGTAGAACTAGTTATAAGTTGCTCGAGGCCATTGGTATTGATCATAAGATTGTACAGTGATCTTCGTTCTATCTCATCAAGCCAGTTGACATTAAAGTCTCCAATGATTATAACCCGTGGAGAAGGATGTTCCTCCAATGTCGTAGAAATGGCAGCCAAAAGAGATGATAATGCAAGTGTTGGAGATCTGTATATTCCAATTATAATTAGGTCTGGACGTTCGACCATCTTCATAATAGTTACCTCGATCCCATGACAGTTTCTTGCACAAGGATATCTAATAATCATAGGAAGTTTTGAATAAACAGCTGTTCCATGATATGGACGGTTGAGATTTGAAACGTCGTCATTTCTGAATAACTCATGGCCTTCAATTGCGTACATTTCACCAGGATCTTCTTCACGAAATCTCGTTTCGGTAAAAATTAAGATATCAGCAGACGTATAATTAATATCTTTTCGTATATCTTCAATGTGTTTGTGCAAAGATCTTGCATTAAGATAGCAAATTTTTAAATCAGTGGGATTCAGCATGTACAACGGAGTAAAACAAAGATCTAATTTATACTCATTTCTCAGTAAGTGCATTTCTTCTACGACTTTAGGATCAACGGAAATCTTACTTTCGCAAAGATCAGTTATATATAGCCCTTCGATTGTTGTTACTCGGCTTAGAGCGACGTAATGAATATGAGGAATTGCTCTTCTTGTATTTAAATTAACGACGATATGTGACTGAGTATCACCTTGTGATCGATGAACCGTTTTTGCGGCAGCTGGCCTCAAAGGAAATTGCTTTCTTACCACTTGAGCAGACTTCGTTTTACCTACAGCAAATTGCGTTGTAACAGGTTTTATTGGTGTCCAAGTACTTAGTATAGATGTACTTCGAGCATAGAGAATTCTATTTTCTTGTCGGGTTTTCTTTCCAACATCTTCGTCGTCAAACTGAACCCAAACGATGCCAGAAGGTTTGGTATTATCAGTCAATTGAACATGCTTAATGACATTACTTGCACCGTTTGTCAGACCATCATCAGTGCGTATATTCACCGCAATTTCTGTTCGTTGTCCGACAGCAATATGCAGTTTATAAGCCAACTGTTTTAAATTTTTCAAAGGAACATGTGGTATTTGTCTCATTATCTTTTCTTTCAGTTCAGCTGAACAGGCTCCAATTACGCTATCTTGTGCCCTGATTATGTATTTATCACGATCATCAAATGATTGATAAACTATATCATTGTATTCATCAACTAAAGCATTTTGAATGAATAAACGTGGGGCTTCTTTGGGGCAAGCACTCTCTTCAATACATCTTTCCTTTAGTTTTTGTAGATCACTCGGAGTATGATTACCTTCACGAAGTCGATTAAGTATCTCTGCAAAAATCTTGCTTTCTCTCTGTCGCATGATTTCATCAAGCTCAAACATTCTAAAATATTTTCTCCATAAGTTCGGGGCAAGAACATCATAAGAACTTAAAGACTGAACATCTGTAAAAATGTAACCATCCATTACAGGTTTGAGTTGAAATAAGTCACCTATTGTGATTATGCTGACACCACCGAAATCTTCTTTACTACCTTTTAAATCTTTCAAACGGTTGTTCAATTGAATGGTGAACATGTTGTTGCCAACCATTGATATCTCATCAAGCAATATTAACTTTAATGAACTTAGTTCGCATCTCATCGTATTCAGTCTTCCAGAATCCAATGGTTTATAATTTTTCAATGACTGACTTGCTGGAATGCGCAAGGCACTGTGAATCGTGTTACCTTTTATAAGATATGCAGCTTTTCCTGTTGGAGCAAGCAATAATATATGAACACGATGAAAATCGTCCCCTGCTCGTGAATTGTAATACTTCAATGCTGCCTGGTATATCGATTTAATAAGGTGAAACTTTCCGACACCTCCACTTCCACTGAGAAATGCGTAAAATGGTTTATCTGATGTTTTTATCAAATGCAGAGCATGATAGAAGAATTCTCTTTGTTTCTTATTTAACAGCTGAACTAAGGTTCGATATTCGTTATCTTGCATTTCATTTAAAATCAACGGCTCATTATTTGGTAAAGAAGACGGAATGCCCAAATTTTCAGCAAGATGATCAAATGTTTCGTTTAAATCAGGATGTGTATCCACGCATCCTTCATCCTGATCATGTCGTTCAACATCTTGTGTCACAGGTGCAATGGTATCAAAAGCATCATCATCACATTCGTCTAAATGATGTCCAATTTCATTTAAGTCTTCACTACAAACAGCATATTGTTCCATTTGCTTACTGATTTCTTCATTTCGAGCTAAATAGTGTTCTTCAAAACAGGAATAATTTCCCATTAAATCGGTTTGTTCATTCCGCCAAGGAGTAAAGAGCATAATTAACTCGCGATAATGTTTTTCAGGTTGAGTCTCTTTATTGAACCAGACACTTCGGATTACTCTAGCTCGAGATCTTTTCCTTATTTTCATATTTTCAGGAGTTTTTACAACGTGAAGATTATCGTCATTTATTAACAACTCGTCGTCATTATCTTCATCATTATTTTCTAATGGAAGGTTATCAACGTCAGGCTTGTTTGTTTTCCTATATGTTTTTTGACCACTAGAGTCGTACCATGCTGCCCAATCAGCCAGCGTCACATTTTGCAAACAATCAGGTCGTTCTACATATCTTTTTAAAAGACCACCAGACTGAATTTCTTCTGATTCATCAGACATTTTCTCTATTTCACTCAATGGTTTAAGTAATTCGACTCTTTCAGAAGGAGGAGATGTGTTAATGAAAATTACACTACGTGACGATTTTCGCATTGGAAGTTGCAAAACAATATACACGGCTTCTTGTGCACATATTTCAACAGAATTCAAAAATTTGTTGCCAATATCACGAACTTGCTGTTTGATATTTGTATTACCTTCTTTCGCTTCAGCACAAGCTTTACGCAGTAATTCACTCATTCCTTTTTGACCTTTGGAAATATATGATACAATATACATTGCACATGCATATACATCTAAGACATATTGAATGTCCATATTTGCTCGCCATGCCCGAAGGCAAACAGGATTGTAATTATTGATTCTTAATTCATTTGGACTTCTTTTTAAGAAGATTGTCGGAGTATTCAAAGATGATCGTATAGCAAGAATATATTGCCGTTCCGAAACACCTAACTCTTGTACTAATTCATCAAAAGTAATGTCTTTACCTTCCTTAAAATCATTTAGTTTCGTTTTAATCTCTTTCCACAATTCTTTGCTGGCTTTAGCAACAGTTGAAGAGATATCTCCATCGAGTGGATAAAGAATCTGAGTACATCTGATTGGTGGTTGTGGATTTTAGACTTTTTCCTGCAAGTATGAGAATGTCTGTGTGTCTGTCTATTTACAAGATCAAGTAATTCTGTATCATCTTCTGGTTTGCTGCAGGTAATTATGCTATCAATATAAGCAACAACATCTTCATCTTTATCAACACCAAACACAGGTGCATTTTCAAGCCATATCAACATATGAATATGAGGTGATCCCCGCTGTTGGTATTCAACTCTATAAAACCAATCTTTAATTTTTCCTAATGGAGCAAGCTCACTCATTAAGACATCTTTTAAGAAGGTATTGAACTGAAAATCAAAATGTCTTGAACAGGTTACTGGGTCACTTTGTATTAGTCGACACCTTTCCTCCCAATTAAGATTGTTCAATTCGTCATCACTATAATCCTTGTGATTAATAAGTTTACCAAGAATTCTTAATAAATGATTCCATTTGGTTTCTGCTGACGAGAAACTGCAAAATAATGATGCTGGTCCTAACTGACGAATCATGGCAAACAAGTCTTTTTTGGCTCGTTCAAAATAAGGTGGTGAACCCCTAAGAGTTTTCAAGAATCTGAAACCATCATCATGGTTTATTAAACTTTGTAAACCTTCTGCAGTTTTTAGGTCTCCAGCAGTAAGTGTTCTTGTACCTATTTTGTTTTTTCGGAGTGCAATCTGTGACTGACCAATCAAGAATTTCATTTGTAACTTCTTAGCTTTGAAGAATATATTTTCAACACACATGGCAGCTCGTCGATCAGATCTTCTTAACTCAGATTTACATATGTCACTATAGTAAACACTTCTTAACCTTTGTTTATCATCAGGTCTTTTTTGTCCAAGAAATATGCCTGGATATGACATTTCTTCAGAGTACTGATCTCTAAATATACTCAACGGCCTGTTACCTTCACCAGGAGCAACATTATAGATTTCCTGTCTCTCACTATCACTGACAAAGTCTGGAGGAGTCAACATACTATCAGTTACTCCAGCTGGTATTTCTGCTTCAGCCTCACTCCATTCATCTTCAGGGAGGTTTGATGTTAAATCATCTTCACCATTTGATGTCTCAATATCACTGGACACATCCAATGACTCTTCCAGGTTTTTCAACCAATTCTGGTTTATAATAATCCCTTGATCTTGATACAAAGTACTTGTGTTAATTAACCATGCAGTTGCTTGCATTACTTTGTGAGGTCTTACATTCATTGAAAGTGCAGAGCTTTTGTATTGTAATCTTCGTTTAAGTTGAACTTTAATAGTACCCATCTCATCTGATAGTCTGGGCAGCACATTAACAGTGCTGTTTACATCTGCAGGCACATTGACAACATTACCTGTAATCTTGAGTTGGCCACCTCTTGGGGCCTGAAAAATCTTTTGAAATGCCAACCGAGGAGCAATAAGTCGACATTCTAGTTCATTTAGATCAAAGAAAGAAGGTCTTTCTGGAAATTTCATGCCATTAGCAATTGCACAAGGGGGGACTTTGCCTTTCGTTAAATGGTTGTTACAAGTTTGACAAAGCCATTCAATGTTATCAACACTTTTTATATTTTGTAGATACTTAGTTATATCAGGATTGACCATTCTTAGTCTGTCTGCCAGAGAAACAGAATGTTTATACCATAATTGGTCACAGCAAGTGCAAACATACAAAGGTCCTGTAGATACAGAATTATGAAAATTTCTCACAAGTGTCAATGTATCTTCACTAGGCAAGTAACAATTCTCAGCATTTGCAATATTTTGAACTGAATGTGATTCATTACTTTTCTTTTGCTTTTCAAAGCTCTCTAGAAGCTCTCTTTCTTTCTTTCTCTTTTGCAATTGTTGCATTCCTTTGCTCAGTAGTTTCATTTTGTTTTGTTGCTTTCTTAGCATTATTATTTTTTGCAAGTCTAGCTTCCTTTTCCTCTGCTGACTCATTTTGTCTTCTTACTTTCTGATAATTTCTATTTTTTGAAAGCCTAGCTTCCTTTTCCTCCGCTGACTCATTTTGTCTTCTTACTTTCTGATAATTTCTATTTTTTGAAAGCCTAGCTTCCTTTTCCTCTGCTGACTCATTTTGTCTTCTTACTTTCACAGCATTTCTAATTTTTGCAAGTCTAGCTTCCTTTGCCTCTGCGGACTCATTTTGTCTTCTTAATTTCTCAGCATTTCTATTTTTTGCAAGTCTAGCTTCTTTTTCCTCTGCTGAATAATTTTGCCTTCTTACTTTCTTAGCATTTCTTTTTTTTGCAAGTTTAGTTTCCCTTTGCTGAGTGGACTCATCTGGTCTCACCCTTTTCCTACATGTATTTATTTGACTACCAATTATTTGACTGTTCAACTCTTTTCTGTTAACATTATGTTGTTCAACTAGCTGAGTAGTATCTGTCATATCTGTATTTCCATTATCTTCTGTAGACAATACTAGTGTTTCTAAATCATTATTATTGATGCACTTTACGCCCTTTAACTCAAATGGCAAAACAATATTTGCTTCGATGCACCTTGATGTTAACCGAAAATACTCTCCAAGATTTTCTATCCCTTCCACTGATATCAAAACACAATAATGCAATGCGGATGGTCTACCATACATATCTCGAGAATGAGAATCAAACACTTTAAACACACCAGGAAAAGGCATCATGATTGCCACAGTGTTCATACCAATTGTAAGTAAACAACTTTTATAGTTTAAAGAATAAAATACTTCATTCAAAGCATGCTCAAGAGTCACATATGGAAAACTATTTTCACTCAAATATAATGCTCCTGAAAAGGAATCACTGTATTGCAAATTAAAGGTATGATTATCTATGTCTACAAACTCAGGGACATCAGTTAATAATAAATAACTCTTATTTATACTTCGGCTGATAACACAATACAAACTGTTTCCACTTATTAAAATTGTGTTTAGAATTGACTTGTCCCAAATATTGACTGATTTAATTTCTTTGTAAACAATTGCATATAGTGACATGGCAACACACTGTTTACCAGCATTCACCCCAAACATTAAGTCATTACCTTGATTAAAATCAGCATGGATTGTACAAGCAGGGTCAACTATATCATTTATAGTCCTAGGACCTGGATTTTCCTCCACATCATTTGAAAGTCTTAGTAATAATGGCACATAAACATTATTATAGTATATCATTTGAACATACCATAAGCATAATTCACTGTTTTTTTGGCTCTTATTCAATTGGCTTTTGAGATAAGGCAAGCAGAATACATTAAAGTAAAACATTAATAGTAATTGATTCCAAAGTATACCTTTAAGACGACACAGACTGTTGCGACAATCTGTAAAATTGTGATGTGAACCAATCCTGGCCCGATAAACTTCAATAGTCACACCCATATTTATGGTCTAGAACTCAGAAACCAAATGTCAATTCTTGACTTTTTAAAGTGTCTTATTTGTCAGTAATTTGCTGCAAGTTGGCAGATAATATTTGGGTATATTATAAGGTCGTCAGTATATTTGTTAAAAAGTGTTGTAACTGCAAGTTGGCAGCAATGTCAAATAGTTTGTTTGAGTATAACAGCACAACGGCTGTCGTTTTATATACCCGCACAATGGCTGGGTTCAATTTCAATACCCGCACAATGGCTGGGTTTAATTTCAATACCTGCACAATGGCTAGGTTTAATTTCAATACCTGCACAATGGCTAGGTTTAGTTTTGATACGTGGCCTTTCACGTGAATAGTACCCTGATCTAAAATGACGACCAGTGCGAGCAACAATGGCTCCAGTTTATTTGATTTTGATACGTGCACCTCCGACACGTAGAGCGCCTGACAAACCGTCAGTGCAGGCAAGTTTGCCCCGAATATATAATATGTACGCTCCAATAATCCGATTGTGATCGAAATTCCTCGAGCACGGTAGAAAACGAGCGATAAAAATAACAAGTGTCACAAAAATACACAAACTTTAAAGTACTCACCTTCGCTTTAAAATTTGACAAACTACAAACGTATTTACGGGACTTCGGTTGCTTCGGTCCTTCGAAAACAACGAAATTTTCCAGAAGTAGAAAAACTATAGGCAATCGTAAAACGAACGTACCGTTCGTCATCTTTCGTATATCCGGCTATTGCCGAAGATGTGGCACCCACAAACATCCATACATCAACACCGCGGAAAAACGTCTGCGCACGCGTCAACTCTGCCTGTAAGTGAGATTAAAAATAATTAAAAAGCGGTTCCGAACGTTTCCGAAGGCTAAAAATGGCGGTAAAAAGGAGTGATTTCATTCGTGTCTTCAAATCCATATTTCGAGGACATAAATAAACACTGCATTATAGAAACTAAGAGAAAAAACGTCCAGAGAGTCCTAGAAGTGGCATCCTACAAAAACACCTGTAAAAGGTGACTGTTAACAAATTTTTCGTCTCAAACATTTTGTTTATCAAATAAGCAACGACAGTTTCCGAACTTTTAATTTAGACACGTTTTATTAAAAAAAAATATGTCGCCAGATACGAGACGTTTGCCGTGTTCTCAATAATTGAAAATTAAGATGTATTTTACAATTTAAATAGATTAGAAAGCTTAACTTTCCGCGTGTTTTCTTAACTTTTAGGTTTAAACTTTTGTTTTCGAAAAATATTCTAAAACCACCCCGTAAAAAAAGGAAAATTTACCGTGAATTCCAGTTCGTTCGATACTCTAAATGCTAGAAGACTTTTAATTTATGTTCTGTCTGGCCGTCTTGTATACTTGTGCCTTTTCCTAACTTATATTTTATCAAATAATGGGCATGTTTTGTTCCAAAAGTTGAGATTTAGATTTACCATCATATTTTGATATTTCGGCGCGTGCGCAGACGTTTTTCCGCGGTGTTCCATACATCCGGACACTTTTTCGACTACATAGTGGTTAGCCGCGCATGCGCAGGCTACCCACAAAAACGGCTTCAAAATTTATGAAACTGCTATCGATAGAAAGCTTCCATAACGCAGATTCCGAATATGTAATTTTTATCTTGGCCCAAATTCGTTGTGGAATCTTACAGCTCTAGAAACGCTGACGTCTGCCAGCCTGAGATTCGAAATCGCATATAATGATGTACGTTAAATGCGTTTTGAAGTACGAGCGAAGTAAACACCAAAAAACGGCTTCAAAATTTATGAAACTGCTATCGATAGAAAGTGTACATAACACAGATTCCGAATATGTAATTTTTATCCTGGCCCAAATTCGTTGTCGAATCTTACAGCTCCTGAAACACTGACGTCTGCCAGCCTGAGATTCGAAATCGCATATAATGATGTACATTAAATGCGCGTTGAAGTACAAGCGAAGTAAACACCAAAAAACGGCTTCAAAATTTATGAAACTGCTATCGATACAAAGCTTACATAACACAGATTCCGAATATGTAATTTTTATCCTGGCCTAAATTCGTTGTCGAATCTTACAGCTCCTGAAACGCAGACGTCTGCGAGCCTGAGATTCGAAATCGCATATAATGATGTACGTTAAATGTGCGTTGAAGTACGAGCGAAGTAAACACCAAAAAACGGCTTCAAAATTTATGAAACTGCTATCGATAGAAAGCTTACATAACACAGATTCCGAATATGTAATTTTTATCCTGGCCTAAATTCGTTGTCGAATCTTACAGCTCCTGAAACGCAGACGTCTGCCAGCCTGAGATTCGAAATCACATATAATGATGTACATTAAATGCGCGTTGAAGTACGAGCAAAGTAAACACCAACAAACGGCTTCAAAATTTATGAAACTGCTATCGATAGAAAGCTTACATAACACAGATTCCAAATATGTAATTTTTATCCTGGCCTAAATTCGTTGTCGAATCTTACAGCTCCTGAAACGCAGACGTCTGCGAGCCTGAGATTCGAAATCGCATATAATGATGTACGTTAAATGTGCGTTGAAGTACGAGCGAAGTAAACACCAAAAAACGGCTTCAAAATTTATGAAACTGCTATCGATAGAAAGCTTACATAACACAGATTCCGAATATGTAATTTTTATCCTGGCCTAAATTCGTTGTAGAATCTTACAGCTCCTGAAACGCAGATGTCTTCGAGCCTCAGATTCGAAATCGCATATAATGATGTACGTTAAATGTGCGTTGAAGTACGAGCAAAGTAAACACCAAAAAACGGCTTCAAAATTTATGAAACTGCTATCGATAGAAAGCTTGCAAAACACAGATTCAGAATATGTAATTTTTATCCTGGCCCAAATTCGTTGTCGAATCTTACAGCTACTGAAACGCAGACGTCTGCCAGCCTGAGATTCGAAATCGCATATAATGATGTACGTTAAATGCGCGTTGAAGTACGAGCGAAGTAAACACCAAAAAACGGCATCAAAATTTATGAAACTGCTATCGATAGAAAGCTTACATAACACAGATTCCGAATATGTAATTTTTATCCTGGCCTAAATTCGTTGTCGAATCTTACAGCTCCTGAAACGCAGACGTCTGCGAGCCTGAGATTCGAAATCGCATATAATGATGTACGTTAAATGTGCGTTGAAGTACGAGCGAAGTAAACACCAAAAAACGGCATCAAAATTTATGAAACTGCTATCGATAGAAAGCATACATAACACAGATTCCGAATATGTAATTTTTATCCTGGCCTAAATTCGTTGTCGAATCTTACAGCTCCTGAAACGCAGACGTCTGCGAGCCTGAGATTCGAATCGCATATAATGATGTACGTTAAATGTGCGTTGAAGTACGAGCGAAGTAAACACCAAAAAACGGCTTCAAAATTTATGAAACTGCCATAGATAGAAAGCTTACATAACACAGATTCCGAATATGTAATGTTTATCTTCGCCCAAATTCGTTGTCGAATCTTACAGCTCCTGAAACGCAGACGTCTGCCAGCCTGAGAAAAAAATGACGTAAAATGGGAAATTTCAATGGCCTGTAACTCTTGTAAAATTTAGTGCAACTTAACAATTTTCACAAATGTTATTTAGCAGTATATTGTCTAGCACTATGCAAAGTTTTTTGCTTTGAAAATTAATTGGGAATATTTTACAGATTTTTAAATTTAAAAAAATCCTTTTTTGGAAAAAAAACATGAAATATTTCCCATTTTTAATTCCCTGTAAAATCTAGTCGTTTAATCAGATACACCGGATATTTCCACAACTGATAGTCACTATGTTTGCCTATCTTAGAAATATAAAATGAGTCTCACAGATCAAACATGACATCTTATAGCACACTCTGAAAAACCGATTTTGATTTAGGTCAATGCGAAGGATTTTTCAATGACGCGTCAAATCCGCAGGTTAGCTTCACCAGGCCTTGTTGTATTTTTTTTGTAAATCACTCTTGTAAGCTACCTTTTGAGCAAAAAAAATCAATAGGTTGCAAAGTTTCAGAAAAGTTATAATATATATATGAAATTAGATCAGAATGATCAATATGATTACCATACTGAAATCTTGTAATAATAATAGCATACTTATGTCATGATGACATCAAGTGTACTTCATAGATGAAATAACTTGTGGTTGATTGCTGTCCAATGCAGTTATGCCCAACCCGTCCCTCCCTAACTCTATGAATATGTCTGCTGTTAAAGGTTTATAATGCATTGGAATATTTGTGAAAAATTTGAGTGTAATGATTTTCATATAATAAAAAACAGATTTCAATATTTATATATGAATAAAGTAGTAAATAGTAACAGTGTCCAACTTAATGCGGCAAAGTTCTCTGCATAATAAAAGATGTAGAATATGTCCATCGGATCGATCTCCAACGTTCGCTCAAGATTTGGAAACAACAAGGTGGGAACTACTGAAAAGCTCATTTACTTGGAACCAAATTGTTTTACGCATTGTTTATAATATATGATATATATATTATATTATGATATTTTCATGTGTGTCTTCAATGTTTCGACATCGTTTAACAAAAAGATTTTAAGTTCTGCATCGCATCGATCTCCAACGTTCGCTCAAGATTTGGAAACAACAAGGTGGGAACCTTGAAAGGTAATTTATTTGAACCAATTGGTTTTACGAGTTTGTTTATAATATATGATATATAATTATGTTATGATATATTATGTTTGTGTCCTTCAATGTTTCGACATCGTTTAGCAAAAAAATTTTAATAATAAAGTGTTTTGAGGTTCACGTTAGAATGTTGCTTTTATTTCAATAGCATCAGTCAAATGAAACAGTGTGCAAATTGCTGAGGCGAAATTTTCTGCATAATAAAAGAGGTAGAACTATTTCAAACTGTCCTGCATCGCATCGATCTCCAACGTTCGCTCAAGATTTGGAAACAACAAGGTGGGAACTGAAAAACGCATTTATTTTAAACCAATACCAGTACAAGTTTATTTATAATATATGATATATATTATGTTAAGATGTGTGTTTCCAATGTTTCGCCATCGTTTAACAAAAAAAATTTTCATAAAGTGTTTTGAGGTTCACGTTAAGATGTTGCTTTATTTGACCGGTGTTGGGATGCACCCTAAATCCTCGTTTACTTTCTGTTTCTTGTTTTGTTTCTTCAGCTTCTTGCTCTTTTTGCGCTTTTTTGACCCTGATCCGTCGTCCTCATTTTGCTGCAGTTGGTCGGCTTGTCGCTCGCATTCTTCTGTACTGTCCTCTGGCTGGTGTGTTGTGTTGCTGTGTTGTTGCCCTTGTAGTTCTTGAAGAAGAGACCTCCTGGGTGGGCCACTGGTGGTTTGCAGCCCGCTGTTATCTCCCCCTTCAAGACACTGCTCGTGTAAGAAGCGTTGCAATGCCTTCACATTTTTCCCTTTCTTGAATCCCTTGGAGCTTTGGTCATCAGTAACCAGCTTGTCAGCATATTTGGCTGGTAGAGATATGATCGATTGGGCTACAATGTATTGTATTGCTGTAGTGTACATTGCACCACCAAGATGAAAAATCTGATCAACCACCTGGTCGAGGGCATTGTCGTCATCATATAATGACGACATTACTGTGTTGACATCCGCTTCTGTTGGCGTTTCTTCTGACTTGGTGTTCAAAGCTTTCATTGCGTTGAGGAAGGGTTGCATCGAGTCAAATATGGCAGCGAACTTCGACTTTTTGATCAATGAGGAGTTTTCAGTTTTTAGCATTCTCAAGTTCTCGACGAGAGTGTCAGAAAATTAACTCATTGCTACGCGTGGACGGAGCAACCATTCACAAGACACCGGGTTTATTCGGCGCTGTATTGTGTCTTCATCCGGTGCTGTACTGGCTTTCCCATATGGCTTTAGGAAGTTTGATGGAAAGTTGTACATCTGTGAATAACAAAGAACATTTATTAGCATTACAAGATATTAAATTGTTTTGATAAGGTGATTCTATGCTTTGAGTTAATTGATTGGTTGATTGTGAATTTTATTGTATTTGTATTGTCAAGTTGTTCAAAGTTTTTCAGTTCTCAAATGAAAGCTCGTCTGTGTCTTAGAATATTGTTTTCATTATTAAAACTTTAAATGAGGCAGTGAAATGTTTTGAAAATACAAGTACATAGCAGAAACATTTGAACGCTTTATATATTTAACAATATATTGCGTAAATGCATTTCACTGAATTTGCAAGACTGTAAGTGTCAGCTAATGACCTGCTGAACACCAAGTCAAAACTAGCGGTTAGTAAGTAATGAGTTTCACTATTATTGTGTAAAAAAATCGTATTATGGCGATAATATAACCTCTCGCAGGAAAACCTGCCTTATTATGGCTGTGACACTGGTTTGAAGAAGGTACTATTTAGTGGTGTAAGGAAAAAGATATCACTTAGTCTTCTGACTCGCGAGAGAGCAACATACGCTGTACCTGGTGGAATGTGGTCAATATCAAACCACAAAATTATTTTTTGTAAAGTTTGACCTTGAGCTTTGCATATCGTATTGGCATATGCAATACGGAATGGATGATAAGTCCTTGTGCCAGTTGGCAACTGACATGTGACAGGGTATGTTGCAATTAGACCTCCTGCTGGCAGTCTTAGTAAAACAGTAGAATTTTGGCACATCTCAACAATTGCCATTTGTCCATTTACTATATTATGTGCTTTATCACGGTTCTGAGTAATCATTACTCTCATGCCTTTATAAATTGGTGTTACATTGGTGTCACTATCCAGTTGCAAATGAGCAATTGGCTCTTTGTTCGAAAACAAGTGGGATACAACCAGGCAGTTAATGCTATTTGCTGCATTGTTAGTGAATGTTAAAATCATGCAATCGGGGTGGACTTGGAATGCTTGCATTATTTTTTGAGGATCGACTGTGCCGCTGGGGCAAAGGACACGTCCTTCTTGTATTCAATTTAACAATGACTCATAGGAACCCAATATCTAATATGATCCAGGAATGCCAAATATTCTGGATCACCGACTCTATGTTGTCCTCTGAGCATGAAGGAATAGGCAGAAGAGACAAATGCTTGGTTATTTAATGGGCTATTTACAATATGAGTGACATTTTGGGATTTTTCAAAAGGTTGCTGTTGTGCGTTGTCCCCACAGACAAGCAACACTGGTCGGAAAATCAACCGGCTCAGTGTACTCAAAATATGTCGGAAATTTTTGTCTGATATCATAGCTATCTCGTCAATAATCAGTACGTGATATTCAGAAATTGCCCAATTTGTTGAAGCATCTTCAGTCGGATCTACAGGGATGTGAAAAACAGAATGTACTGTGTCGCAAGTAACCTCGTCAGGTAAGATTGCACAGAAATGAATTGTTAGAAAACCAGTTGGCGCAGCTGCAAGCACATTTTGATCATTGCGGTGAGCGTTTCGAACACAGTGACATATCGCTTCAGTTTTTCCTGAACCTGCTTTGCCAATTAGCAAGACTGGTTGTTGCCATTGGATGTCATTGTGAGCAGTTTGTGCTCTTTGCGACCTATTCAAAAAGTGAGATGGTTGTTCATCTTGATGTGGCATATGAGAATCATAATCTAAATCACTGTCACCTTCACTATCACTATCACTTGTGCTGTCACTTTCTCTCAAGTTATTTTCATATGCAGCCTGATAATGGTTGTTATAAAACTGGTCCCTTAGAGATAGAGAATTTTCAATGTGTCGTACAAGAGCTAGTTGGCATCCATCAAGGGGAAAGTGACTGGAGTTAGAGACTTCAACAGCTTGTTACTGTTCTGCCCTAATTATTTGCATTTGCAAAAGAAAAAATAAATCACGCAAACTTGCAACATGGGACAAAATTGTTGCAATATAAAAGTCTCGATGTCCCTGAGTGAGCAAGAAAGACCTAAGCTTTAATTCATTCGTCCAAAGATCAGAAAAATGGTGAGCAGCTGCAGCATACCATTGTAACTGCTCTGGAAGTTGTTCATGATTGGGATGATGTAGTCCATTTATGTCCCTATGAGGAAAGTGTAGCAACATGTACTGGAAAAAATACTCATTGTTAAAAATGGACAAAATTTTTGTGCCAACAAGTGTGGAGCCTTGTTTGTATGGTTTTGGATTTGGTTTGTTCCTGTCAAAAAGACGAAGCCATTCAGTCATGCTAAGACTATCATAATCTTTGTGGCATTGCCAGTATTTCTGAACTGTTTTGTCGTTTGAAGCATTTTCACTGATAGGAACAATAAATCTTTTTGTTCGACTGCTACTCCATGCTATCTTTTTAGAAAATAAGAAAAAGCACATTTCCGGCTCAGCAGGTACGTTTCGCATTAGATAACATACTGCTGCTTGTCTACCTTCAAGTTCATAGGAGTACATGCTATCAATTGTTGTGGAGTCTTGTGATTTAGCTACGTAAAATGTAACATAACGAAGCAGCATAGAAACGCCATCAGTTGTCTGATAGTCCATTTTACATTTCAGTGCTGGCAAGACTGTAGCAATATATGCCCGTAAATTTATTGCAAACTCCTCCGCTGGATGTTTGAGATGGTGCACCTTTTTACCATCTTCAATGCGAAAGAATGAGTCTTCATACTGAAGTTTGAGACAGTGAGATTTTTTATCTGATTGTTGCAATTTGTGCACTAGGTATGCTAACTCAGGATGTGAATGTGGGATATCTGCGCGAAAAAATTGATGTTGTGTCTGCGCAATATCTTTTAGCCAGACAAGCATGTGCAGGTGAACAGTTCCTCGTTGTTGAAATTCAAAACGATAAAAAAAGGTCTTTACGTTTTTGAAATTTGAAAGTTTGTTGTAACTAAAGACGTGCTGGGTGCATTTTTGACTAGTAGAGCCACAGAAATAGCCTCGAACTAATTGTTCTAACGTGTGTGTTATATTGTATGTTTCATATGTTGGTAACTGTGTTGGACCCATTCCTGTAGATTGTCGTATACGGGACAGCCATTTAGCAAAAGGAAAAGACCACTCATATGGGCTTATTGTTATGAATGCATCGGGAAGACCAAATTGATCTACTGCATCAAGTAAATACCTGTGCTGCCATTGCCAATACATCAGAGAGAAAGATTTTGAATCAAGAGCTCGTGCTGGTGAGCATTTGGTAAAACGTGCAGTATTAATAGCACCACTAACAACCTCATAAAGTGCTCGGTCGTATTGCCATTGTAGCAAATCAAAATGCAGTGCATAATCTGCAATTTCAGAAAACAGTTTTGTACAAAAAGCAATTTTAGAACTCAGTCGAGTTTGCTTTCCAGAAAGTGTGGACTCACACGAACTCGTGAATAGATAAATATTTGGCCATAATGCACATTCTATTCCAACGGTTAATGAAAAATTAAATGTGGCTTCATTTTCAAGAATTTCGTCTCTTAACTCAACAAAATGGGCATAAGATGAGTTACTAGATGACATGAGATATTCATATGCAACACGACACTTTCGACGGTCCTAAGCGTCAGGCAGATCACATTGTTTTTCTAAGATAGGCTTCCGAGAAGGCAAGAGTTCTATCATACCTGTTTTAACTCTATAGCCATGTTTTTGTCTTTTGTAGTTGCCACAGTGAAGATCAAATGGCCGTAGTGCATGTAAACACTCTTTTGAAAGGTCTAACAACTGGTGAGGGATATCATGCATTCTTGGCACAATGTAGCGCTGTTTGAGACATTGGCACTTTGTTCTCTTGTTAGGGTTTGGCCTTTTGATAAAGTTGTATGGCATTTTAACTGATAAGATAGAGTTACAGTGCTGGCAAACATAAAAGCTGCTATTCTCAGCCCAGTATTGCAAAGCTGATGAAATGGAAGTGATTGCATCTGAACCAAAAGCATCTGTTTGAGGTGATATGAATTGCCGCTGAGTGAAGAATTTGTGTTGGTCATTCATTTCTTTCGTTTTTCGCAAGAGTGTGTCATGTTGAAATGAGGCTATCTTTGTTGACAGGTTTTTGTAGTTGAACACAAGGGATGTTGTTCTATATGCATTATGACTGCTGTCAACAGAAGGTGCCCATGCTCTAGCCATGGTTATTGTGTTACTCACGTGCAGATAATATTCACTCAAAAAGTTTTATTACAAACTTTTTGTTTAACAGTAAGTATTTTAAATATCTCAATTGTAAGCTTCAAAGCAGTGATTTGAAAAGCTAAAATTGCATATGTTTCAAAGCAATAGAGTCCAGCTAATGAATAACCCTTTGTAATATCAATGCATAAATAACAAGCTTGGCAGCTTACAAGTAAAGGTTTAACAATGCAATTTTAATTTGTGTATATGTTTGAGAAAGTACCTAAATTTCCCGTCGATAAAACAAATGAACATTCAAAATTTTATAAGCAGTATATGAATCATGTGTTACAGACACTGTAAGCAACGACGTTCAGATAATAAACTGTGTCAAAATATGTTGTAGAATAGTTTAATATAGTATTGTATGGAAGGTTTGACAAAGTACGTTATCACAATATTTTTTTAGTATTTTGAACAAAATCAACAATGTAATATTCCAAAAAACCTTTAGTGTAAGCTCAGCCTATTATAAGATTCCAAAAAAATGTTTACTTGTAGTATTTCAGCCGCAAATATCGACTTCGATACTAGCGCTTTGTTATGTAAACAAAGCGATATGCAACCAAAATATGAAACTTGATTAAAATTACTTTCAAACCTTAGCAACTACCAAAAGTATTTGTTTATAACCTTTCTAACCTTATAAAGCTTTTTCTTCGAAAATATCGATGTTATGCCAACAATCACTTGAGTAATAGAACTTTTTCTTCGCGCAGTTCGTAACGCTTTTCCCGTTTCAAACTGAAACAACAACAAAATCGGAGAAAAAGGCGCCAGCCGAAAATTCAAGATGGCTCCCGAAAAATAAATATGAATATTGAAATGAAAACAACAACCCCATCTCTAGCGTCATTTTGTAATAAAAAGCACACCATTAGGAAGCATTTTTGCTAAGCTTTTTTCAATATGCATTTTTTTCCCGAATGTTTCCTTCTATTTCTCGATTTAGAAATCTGTACGATATTTTGCAGTTAAAAAATACAGGCAAAACACATTTTATGTTCTATTACAACTCATTATGTATTTCTTGAATAGCAAAGACAAGCACATCATTAAAAAGCTTGTTTCCTAACCTTTGTTTCGATATGAATTATGTTGCTTAATTTTATTTCCTTTTGTTTTTATATTTTGAAATCTGTATGATAGGTAAAATACACAGAAAATACACTTCAAATTCTCTTACAACTGACTATATATTTACTCATTGGCCATTGAAAGGCACATCATTAGAAAGCTTCTTTCCTAAGCTTTCTTTTGATATACATTATGTTGCTAAATAATGTTTCCATTTGTTTTTAGATTTGAAATCTGTATGATACTTGACCATTAAATTATAGAAAAAATACACTTCAAATCCTGTTACAACTGACTAAATATTTACTCATTTGCAATGAAAGGCACATCATTAGAAAGCGATTTTCTAAGCTTTTTTTGATATGCATTATGTTGCTTAATGTTGTTTCCTTTTTGTTTTTATATTAGAAATCCTTATGATACTTGACCGTTAATTTAGAGAAAAAATACACTTTAAATCCTGTTACAACTGACCATATATTTACTCATTTGCAATGAAAGGCACATCATTAGAAAGCCTATTTTCTAAGCTATATTTTGAAATCTGTATGATAGGTAAATTACACAGAAAATACACTTCAAATTCTCTTACAACTGACTATATATTTACTCATTGGCAATTGAAAGGCACATCATTAGAAAGCTTTTTCCTAAGCTTTCTTTTGATATACATTATGTTGCTAAATAATCTTTCCATTTGTTTTTATATTAGAAATCCTTATGATACTTGACCGTTAAATTAGAGAAAAAATACACTTCAAATTCTCTTACAACTGACTATATATTTACTCATTGGCAATTGAAAGGCACATCATTAGAAAGCTTATTTCCTAAGCTTTCTTTTGATATACATTATGTTGCCAAATAATCTTTCCATTTGTTTTTATATTAGAAATCCTTATGATACTTGACCGTTAAATTAGAGAAAAAATACACTTTAAATCCTGTTACAACTGACTATATATTTACTCATTTGCAATGAAAGGAACATCATTAGAAAGCTTATTTTCTAAGCTTTGTTTTGATATGCATTATGTTGCTTAATGTTGTTTCCTTTTGTTTTTATATTAGAAATCCTTATGATACTTGACCGTTAAATTAGAGAAAAATACACTTTAAATCCTGTTACAACTGACTATATATTTACTCATTTGCAATGAAAGGCACATCATTAGAAAGCTTATTTTCTAAGCTTTGTTTTGATATGCATTATGTTGCTTAATGTTGTTTCCATTTGTTTTTATATTACAAATCCTTATGATACTTGACCGTTAAATTAGAGAAAAAATACACTTTAAATCCTGTTACAACTGACTATATATTTACTCATTTGCAATGAAAGGCACATCATTAGAAAGCTTATTTTCTAGGCTTTCTTTTGATATGCATTATGTTGCTTAATGTTATTTCCTTTTGTTTTACATTAGAAATCCTTATGATACTTGACCGTTAAATTATAGAAAAAATACACTTCAAATCCTGTTACAACTGACTATATATTTACTCATTTGCAATGAAAGGCACATCATTAGAAAGCTTATTTTCAAAGCTTTCTTTTGATATGCATTATGTTGCTTAATGTTGTTTTCTTTTGTTTTTAGATTAGAAATCCTTATGATACTTGACCGTTAAATTATAGAAAATATACACTTCAAATTCTGTTACAACTGACTATGTAGTATTGACTCATTGGCAATGAAAGGCATATCATTAGAAAGCTTGTTTTCTAAGCTTTCTTTTGATATGCAATATGTTGCTTAATATTGTTTTTTTTTGTTTTTAGGTTTGGAATCCTTAACATATTACACTTGTAAAATATACATAAGTAAACAATGAATTTTTTCAAGCTGTAAGCTCCTAATTATAAAACGAAAACATAGCAGTTTTGTTTGCTAGTAAATTTTACACCTTTGTGCCTATTACAACCTTTGTCTGTTTCGTACTACCTGAGAAATAATTCTTTCAAAATGTATGAAAAAATAAATTTGACTTTGTAGTGTAATTTATAGTAAACAAACTGGAACTTTCAATTTTCATGCATGTACGATGAATGTTTGAAAAATAGCTCTTTGCGGTTTTGTTTAGCAACCTTTTTTACATGTTTGTGCCGAATATTACTTTAATTCATCACCTAGAACATCGAAAATAAAAGAAAGAAGAAGCGCCATAATAACAAAGATCCCTGCCAAATTCCCGGTTTTCATACACATGTAAACAATGAATTTTTTCAAACTGTATATTCCTTATTGAAAAACGAAAACATAGCAGTTTTGTTCGCTAGTAAATCTTACACCTTTGTGCTTATTACAACTTTTGTCGGTTTGGTATTAGCTGAGAAATAATTCTTTGAAAATGTGTGAAAAAATAAATTTGACTTTGTAGTGTAATTTATAGTAAACAAATAAGAACTTTTAATTTTCATGTATGTACAATGAATGTTTGACCAATAGCTCTTTGCCGTTTTGTTTAGCAACCTTTTTTACATGTTTGTGCCGAATATTATATTAATTCATCACCTAAAACATCGAAAATAAAAAAAGAAGCGCCATAATAACAAAGATCGCTGCCAAATTCCCGGTTTTCATACATATGTAAACAATGAATTTTTTCAAACTGTATTTTCTTTATTGAAAAACGAAAACATAGCGGTTTTGTTCGCTAGCAAATTTTACACCTTTGTGCCTATTACAACTTTTGTCGGTTTGGTATTAGCTGAGAAATAATTCTTTGAAAATGTATGAAAAAATAAATTTGACTTTGTAGTGTAATTTATAGTAAACAAATAAGAACTTTTAATTTTCATGTATGTACGATGAATGTTTGACCAATAGCTCTTTGCGGTTTTGTTTAGCAACCTTTTTTACATGTTTGTGCCGAATATTACTTTAATTCATCACCTAGAACATCGAAAATAAAAGAAAGAAGAAGCGCCATAATAACAAAGATCGCTGCCAAATTCCCGGTTTTCATACACATGTAAACAATGATTTTTTTCAAACTGTATATTCCTTATTGAGAAACGAAAACATAGCAGTTTTGTTCGCTAGTAAATTTTACACCTTTGTGCCTATTACAACCTTTGCCTGTTTCGTATTAGCTGAGAAATAATTCTTTCAAAATGTATGAAAAAATAAATTTGACTTTGTAGTGTAATTTATAGCCAACAAACTGAAACTTTTAATTTTTATGCATGTACGATGAGTGTTTAACAAATATCTCTTTGCGGTTTTGTTTAGCAACCTTTTTTACATGTTTGTGCCAAATATTACTTTAATTCATCATTAAGAACATCGAAAATAAAAGAAAGAAGGGCCATAACATGAGGACCCGCACGCCCCAAAAAATGCAACTTTTGCGTCCGGAAATCAAAGTGCATTATCTCATTGAATTTAATGGGGAAAGCTGTCTTCAATCAGTAATTAGTTAATTACTTTGCAATAGGCGCTCTGCTCTAAGTTCTGTTATTAACAAGTTATTAATTAAAAATGCACACATGGAGAGGATATTTCATGAGGTTAATGAAAAACATTTATTACTTGCTTCTTTATTAACATGAATTAATATACAGAGAAAAGGTGTCAAATGTTTTATTCTGTCAATGCCATTCATTCGCTCCCACTCCCGCCTCCCAGTAAGCGGCTAAATAGAGGCATAGAAACTCAGCTCGCTTCATTCACTAATCTGCATGATTAGTTTGAATGTCCTTGCTTTATTTAATTGTGGGAGCGGTTGATACCTGGGACCGGTTGTATCAAGCCCGTTTAGCTTAAACGGTGGTTAAATGAAAATCAAATAACACTCTTACAACTCTCTTGAATGAATCAACCTGAATATTATGCACTAAATATGTAGTTGTAAACAGTATCTTTGTATTAAGGTTATAAACATTCAGTTTGCTTCTTGAATAAAACGATAGACTTGCTTTCTATTTTGAACTTAACCACCGTTTAAGCTAAACGGGCTTGATACAACCGGCCCTGAAGTACATAGCGGTGTGTTTAGTATAGTTTCGCTTTAGTTCAGTCAATACACTGGTATATTGTAACTTTTCCCCATGCCAGTTTCAAAGCAGACCGCTAACTTATTTTGTTTGTTATTTGGTAATTTGTTTTGTTTCTATTGGGTAATGAACACATAACCAAATGACTTGCAAGTGGTATAATATAGTACAATGCATTGAATCAACAGACTTCACATAGTGACATAGCCCATAAATAACGGATTAATACTGAATTACTCAAATAATTAGGTCACATTCTTCTACGAGAAACGATAATGTGCACGGTTTGGCAGGGTTTTCACTAGCACACAACTTACTGAGATCGACTATCTTAGTGCAGTCAAGACGAGTCCCGATTTGTAAAATGATCCTGCCGAGTGCAAAAAAATCACTTGAAGCCGTTTATGCCGCTGTTCCTTCGACAATCTCTAGAGCAATATGGGAATATCTCTCACGATATTTTTTCTTTTGTTCTTCGGTCAACTTTTTGAATCGCCCCTCTTCGATTCTGCAAGCTTTACCGAAGTCAATTAGGACGGGTTTAAGGCCCTCCAAATCTTTATAAATTACAACATCACATTTAATGTCGTTATGCAGAAGATTGTGCGCGTGAAGATATTTGAGGACTTCACACAACTGCCTAATAACTGCCAAAAATTCTATCTTCTT